GACATGTCATGGGTTGGCTTGGTGTGAAATGACATAGGGTCGCATAGCATGGTACAACATAGGCTGGTATGATATGGCATGGGGTGGCATGACACAGCATGGGGTGGCATGGGGTGGCTTTGGCATGGCATTGGGTGGCATGACATGTCATGGGTTGGCTTGGCATGAAATGACGTAGGGTGGTATAGCATGGTACAACATAGGCTGGCATGATATGGCATGGGGTGGCATGACACAGCATGGGGTGGCATGGGGTGGCTTTGACATGGCATTGGGTGGCATGACATGTCATGGGTTGGCTTGGCATGAAATAACGTAGGGTGGCATAGCATGGTACAACATTGGCTGGTACGATGTGGCATGGGGTGGCATGACACAGCATGGGGTGGCATGGCATGGGGTAGCATGGTATGGCATGGGATGGTTTTGGCATGGCATTGGGTGGCATGACATGTCATGGGTTGGCTTGGCATGAAATGACATAGGGTGGCATAATGTGGTACAACATAGGCTGGTACTATATGGCATGGGGTGGCATGGAATAGCATGACACGGCATGGGGTGGGATGACATGGCATGGGGTGGCATGACATGGCAGCTCCACCATGCCCAGCCTACCTTGTCCACCTCGTCCGTGCTGCCCTCCACCACCTCGTAGGCGTCGATGCGGTCGAGGATGGCTGCCAGGCGCTGCCGCTCCTGCCGCTGCCGCATCCGCGAGTTGACGTGGTTGATGAAGTGCTCCACGGAGCTGATCTGTGGCCAAGGCAGTGGGTGAGAGGGGTTGGGATGGACCACCTCACCCCACCCCACCTCACCCCACTCTGTGCCGTTCTCCTGTCCCTTTACCATGGTCGTGATGGCATCGCGGGCACGTGGGTCGTCCGTCTTCTTCAGCACGGACTTGAGGAGCAGTGGGTACTTGGTGAGGCGCTGGTGGGGCTTCACCAGCATGTCACTCAGCTTCAGGCGGCTGCACTGCTCGTGTTTCTCGGCCCACTGCACCACGAAAGCATCAGCCCTGGAACCGGCACCGGTACCGGCCCCATCCCAGCCCCGTCCCGTCCCCCCCGTTACCGTCACGTAGGCGCGGAAGAGCTCGCTGTCCCGCAGCAGTGCCCGCATGTACTCCATGCAGCCCTCCTCCTCCATGCAGTATCGCACGTAGGGCTTGAAGCGGGAGCCGAACTGGGGGGACACAGGGGGGTCACTGTGGGGCACGGCGTGGCAAAGCCCCCCCCCCCCGCCGTGGCACGGGGTCCCCACTCACCATCTTGAAGCCGTCGAGGAAGTCGATGGGGTCGAGCAGTGCCCCGGTCCGGCGCGCTTTGGCCAGCACCGGGGCCATGACACTGCGCCACAGCTCGCGGTGCAGCCGGATGATCTCCCCGATGTTGCCGAAGAGCCGCTCGGCGTCCACCTGTGGGGGGGGTGAGGCAGGAGCTATGGGGGGGGACGGGACCCATATCCCACCAGTGTGGCCAGATTGGGGGTCCCATCCCTCACTTGGAGGTCCCCAGCCCCCCCCAGCGCTCACCTCGCAGAGCAGCCCCGACTCCTGCAGGTTCAGCAGGCAGCAGAGGAAGAGCTGTGGGGATACAGGGGGAGGTGGTGGGGTGCAGCCGTGGCCCCCAGCCCCCCCAGCGTGGTGTGGCACGGCACGGCTGCCATTGTCACTCACGTCGGTGATGACTTTGAGCTTGCGGATGTAGGTGGCCTCGGTGTGCAGCAGCTCCCAGATGGCTTCCTGCTGGTGGCACTGCCGGCGCGACAGGGCCTGCCGGGCTGAGAGTCAGCACAACGCTGCTGTGGCTGGGCAGACCCCCCCTCCCCGTAGCCCCCTGACCCCCCCAAACCTTACCTCCGCGCCCCGGATGATCTGTTGCCAGCTGTCCTCCAGTGCCAGCCCGGCCTCGTCCCCGTCCTCCTCCCAGGAGTCACGGTCGAAGCGGAGCTGGGGGGGCAGCTTGGGCAGCCCAAAGGTGCCGTAGGCGTGCAGCCTGCTCGCCAGCTGCTCCAGCTTCTCCGTCTCCTGGCCAAGAGTGGGGGCAGAGCCGCTGGGCAGGGGGCCGGCAGGGATGTGCCACAGACCCCCTCGCCCTGCCCGTAGTGCTCGAGCCCCAAGGGGACACATCCCAGCTCCCCAAGCATCACCGCAGGCAGATCCATCATCACCACCCCCTCCCCGTGCCCACATCCCACCTACCCGCCCGAAGGAGCCGGTGCTGGTGCCGGAGCCGAAGAAGCCGCTGAAGCGACTGGCAGCGCGGTTCTTCCAGGTGTCGGTGCCGTTGGTGGGCACGGAGACCCCGCCGGGCAGGGCTGGCTCGGGGCTGGGGATGTTGGCATCCCCCAGGAACTCCGTCATGTTCTTCCTCCGCCGGCCCGGAGCCTGCAGCGGGGACAGCCGGTGCCCCCCAGGTCAGGGCTTGGCACTGGGTGCCCAGGGCTACCAGGGTGGGGACAGCAGCACGATGCCAGCCTCCAGCATCCGTGGGACAGATGGATACCCAGGTGGCACCCCCGGGCAGCAGGGCCCCCCGGCCACGCTCCCCTGCCCGCACTGACCTGCCTACCTGCATCCTGGGGGCACGGGTGCCACCTGGCCAAGCCCAGCTGGTTGCGGGCAAGCAGCCCTGGCAACGTGGGGGTTCAGGGCATCCCGTGGGGCGCAGCACCCCAGCCCCAGCCACCCGCCCAGCAGCTCTCCCAGCCCGGATGGCGGAGCTGGAGCTGGGCAGGCAGTGGCCGGGGCTCCTCCGAAACAAAAGGAGGTGGGGCCAGAGCCGAAAACCTAATTTCCCTCCTGGGCACGGAGACACCGCCGGGCAGGGCTGGCTCGGGGCTGGGGATGTTGGCATCCCCCAGGAACTCCGTCATGTTCTTCCTCCGCCGGCCCGGAGCCTGCAGAGGGGACAGCCGGTGCCCCCCAGGTCAGGGCTTGGCACTGGGTGCCCAGGGCTACCAGGGTGGGGACAGCAGCACGATGCCAGCCTCCAGCATCCGTGGGACAGATGGATACCCAGGTGGCACCCCCGGGCAGCAGGGCCCCCCGGCCACGCTCCCCTGCCCGCACTGACCTGCCTACCTGCATCCTGGGGGCACGGGTGCCACCTGGCCAAGCCCAGCTGGTTGCGGGCAAGCAGCCCTGGCAACGTGGGGGTTCAGGGCATCCCGTGGGGCGCAGCACCCCAGCCCCAGCCACCCGCCCAGCAGCTCTCCCAGCCCGGATGGCGGAGCTGGAGCTGGGCAGGCAGTGGCCGGGGCTCCTCCGAAACAAAAGGAGGTGGGGCCAGAGCCGAAAACCTAATTTCCCTCCTCGCCAGATAAGCTAATCAGAGCTGAACAATTCACCGGCCCGAGATCAAAGCCCCCCCGGCCGGCCACGAGAGCTGGGTCACAGCCAAGGGCTCCCACCGGCCTGGGCACCAGCTGCCTCCCCACATCTCCCCGGGGCGTGCAGGGACACGGCCGCTGCCATCTCCTCCTCACCCCGGCACAAAGGGCAGCAGGGCCAGGGCTCCCTGCTTGCCCCAAAGGGCAACAGGGCCAGGGCTCCTCGCCTGCCACCGAGCCACGGGAGGTGGCATGCTGCCACTGGTGCCCCACACCCCGCCACGTCCCCATCCCCGGGTGGGGAGAGCCACCATCCCTGTTACTCACCGCGCTACCGCCAGCCCCACGGCCCCGGCGCCGCTCGGCTCCTGCCCTCCCCTGGGGAGGCACCGGGGGCCGAGGTGCCCGTGGAGGCAGTTGGGTGCCTGCTGGCCCCAAAACCCTGCCGGAGCCCTGCTGGTCCTGCAGCCAGGCATTGTAGTGCTGGATACGGGTGGCCACCAGCCCTGGCCACGCAGCCAGCTTGTCACCTTCGAGGGCTGCTGGCGTGGGGCTGAGCACCGGGTGCCCCCCCTGCCGTCACTCCTGGCGAGCCTGGCAACCTGCTCCCACGGGGAGTGTCAACCAGCCCGGCCCCACGCCTTATCTGGGGCCAGGGTCCACGGGGCAGGACCGAGCCGTGCTCGGCAGCTGCCAGGCGCCACAGCCAGAGGAGAGTGGCCAGGACAAGCCACAGGGCCCCTGGGGCTCCTGTTTGTCTTTGCTCTGGTGCCAACCTCTACATGGCACGGCCACGGGGCTGGTGCCACTGGCTGAGCTGTCATGTCTGGCTGTCACTGCCACGGCGACACAACCAGCACAAGAGCTGAACCGGTTCTTGGGGCTCTGGGGGGGGGTCTTCAGCCCACACAAGACCACCCAGGAGATGCTGTGCTGCTGCCCCATCTTGCTGCCAAGGATAGATAACAGGGTATCCCATGCTCCACCACCCCCTCTCCCCAATTCCTCCCCCCGGGGCTGGTACCAGTACTCACCAGGCTATCGGTGCCCTCCCGGCGCCCCAGCACCAGCTCCGGGGCTGGCCCGAGGAGCGGGGTGGTGCTGGCGGGGTGCAGGATGGGCAGGCTGGCCGACCTGGCGTCCCGCGCTGCCTGCTCCACCTTCAGCTCGTCCCCGGGCTTGGCTGCGGGATCATCAGGCTGTTAGGAGTCCCCCGTGAGCCCTGGGGTGGCCGAGCCCCCCATAGGACCCCCCGTCGCACCTTTGACCCGCAGGTAGTGCCCCCCGAAGCGGTACGCCTCGAACTGGAGGGAGAGTGGTGTGTGGGACTGGTCCAGGTAGATGTCCACCTTGCCCAGCTCGATCGCCTTCCTCTCGAAGACCGGCAGCAGCACCTCCCTGGGGGGGACACGAGCCCCGTGTCTGTCTCTGCCTCTGTCCCCCCCGTCCATCCCCACGTCCCTCCCTGGCAGACTCACCCCAGGGACTTCTTCTTCACAGCTGGAACAATCTCTGCCTCGATGTCCACGCTGAGGTCGAACTTCAGGGTGAAGCACTCCGTGCTGGGGTCCTGGGGGGAGGTGGCAACTGCTTGCCCAGGGCTCCCTCCCACCCACCGGGGCCACCCCGGGGAGAGGGGACAATGCCTTACGTCCGTGTGCCTGCGCCGAGCCTTCTTCTTGGGCAGCTTCAGCGCTGAGCTCCTCCGCTCCCTGCGGGCACAGGGCGGGCAGGGTGATGGGGACACCACAGGCTGGGGGTGTGCAGGGGACAAGGAGGGCTGGGGGGCTCACCCTCTGCTGTCCACAGGTCCCTCCTCCTCCTCCTCCATGTCGGAGGCCGGGCTGGTGCGTGGGGGGCATGAGCGTGTCGACATGTGGCGGGCCAGGATGGAGCCTGCAGAGGGGCATCGAGCTGGGCTGTGCTGGCACTTCCAGCTCTGTGCCAGCTCCTGCTGCATCCCACTCCCATCCCTGGACCATCCCTGAGTGCATCCCACTCCCATCCCTGCACCAGCTCCAAGCTCATCCCATCCCATCCCATCCCATCCCTGTGGTCATCCCCACACCATCCCACAGTTCATCCCACTCCCATCCCTGCACCAGACCCAAGCTCATCCCATCCCATCCCTGCAGTCATCCCCACACCATCCCATAGTTCATCCCACTCCCATCCCTGCACCAGCCCCAAATTCATCCCACTCCCATCCCTGCACTAGCCCTGAGTTCATCCCATCCCATCGTTCATCCCACTCCCATTCCTGCACTAGCCCTGAGTTCATCCCATCCCATCCCATCCCATCCCATCCCATCCCATCCCATCGTTCATCCCACTCCCATCCCTGCACTAGCCCTGAGTTCATCCCATCCCATCCCTGCAGTCGTCCCCACACCAGCCCATAGTTCATCCCACTCCCATCCCTGCACCAGCTCCGAGCTCATCCCACTCCCATCCCTAAGATCATCCCACTCCCATCCCTGCACCAGCTCCGAGCTCATCCCACTCCCATCCCACAGTTCATCCCACTCCCATCCCTGCACCACCCCACACACCCTACTCCCACAGACGGACTGTGCCAGCCCCGAGCACACCCCCCGGGTCTCACCTTGGGGGGGCAGGTCGAAGCGGATGTGGCCGTCGAAGTGCATGGCGCCATGGAGGTGGCTGTCGCAGAGCTCACACAGGCTGAGCGGGCCGCTGCGGTTCAGCTGCTGGCACTCGGCGTGGTGACATACCTGTGTGGGGACGGGCACAGGCGTGAGGGGGGCTGCCCACGGGAGGGATGGGCAGTGGGGGGACCCCCCTTCTCATCCCACACGGCTGCCACACACCGCTGGGGCCAGGATGGGTGCGAGCAGGGGACAGCCACGAGATGGGGAGGGGGGGCTACACCGAGCAGGGACCCCAGGGAGGCTGCACATGCCTGGGCATGGTGGGGGGGGACAACAAGGGGACAACAAGGGGACAACCACCTGCCCCTCGCCGGGTGCCGGGGAGGCCACGCTCGGGTGCCGCAGCCCCTTTGTGCCGCGGGAGCGGTGTTCCTGGGGCAGGACGGAGGAAGCGAGCGTCTGTGGCCAAACAATGCTCGAAGCCGGTACGTTTCCTCCGATTGTGCGCGGCCCCAGCCCCGCCGGGCATTCACAGCGGGTTATTTTTAAACCCCCGGCCGGGCCCCCAACGCAGTGCACAGCCCGTGACCCCCCAACCAGCGCTCGCCTCACTGGGGGCTCCAGCTGGCCCTGCTCCCGGGGACCACGGTGCCACCAGTGACCCCGCTGCTCCCCCAGCACGTCCCCAGCCCTCTATGGGACCCCCCATCGCTGACCCACATATGGAAGGGTGTGAGAGGCTGCTGGGGAGGAGCGAGCCCGGCCCGGGCCTGCCTGCAGAACACGGTGCCGCTGCGGGGAGGAAGCGCCCGTGCAGCCCTGGCCGCCCCCGCTTCCTGCCCTCCTTCCTCCCGGCGCTGATGAGGTCAGAGCTGACGTGCTCCTGCCCCACTGAGGGGCCACCAGCCCCTCCATGGCACCCACCAGTGTCCTACCCCCAGCACTCCCCATCTCCCAGCCCAACACCGCCATGGCCAGCGTGGCACCTGTGAGACGGCGGGCACGGCCGTGGGCTGCAGGCAGTGGCCACAGCTGTGTGTGTTTGCCCACAGACCCCCCAGGACCCTCAGCAGCTGCCCCACTGGGATGTGGGGCTCCCTGTCCACCCCATACCCATCCCCGGGGAGGAAGGAGTTAGAAGTTGGGGACCCCCAGCACGGTGCAACTGCCCCACGAAGCAAGGAGGGACGCAATGCAGCTCCGTGTCCCAGCAGGGAGACCCCCAGACTAACCAGGACCCCCACCCTGCACCCAGTGGGAGAGGAGGGACCCTAAATCCGCTCCGGCATCACAGCAGCGAGCGGGGGGACAGACGGGCTGGAGTGGATTAGCCCCAGTCACACCAGCCCGGGGCACGGGGCGAGCTGCCGCGCTGGTAAATGCCAGCAGGACCACGACACCACCAGGGAATGCCCACCCAGCTCAGGCCGAGGGGACGTGGCTGGCAGGGGGGCTCCTGGCCATGCCAGGGGGATTCAGGGAGCCATCTGCTGCCCCTTCTCACCCACCAGCAGGGACTGAGAGAAGGCAACTGGCCGTTGCTGGCCACTAGCCCACAGCACCCACCTTGGCCGCCCTCCTCTCGCCGCTGCAGTCGGGGTTCTGGCAGCGCAGCACCGTCTCCTCCGGCGGGCACGGCTCGGCTGTGGGAGAGAGGGGGGGGTCAGTGCCAGGGTGCCACGGGAGTCCCCCCCCCCAAACCCTGCCCACGCAGGGGGGGGGCCGTGCTGAGGCTCCCGCACTGCAAGCCCTGGGTTTAAGAGCTTGGCAAAGCCCTCGGGCTCAGCCGAGGCTGGGCCTGCCTGCTCCTGCCTGCCCCACGGCCCGTCCAGGGGGCTGGAACCCCATGCTCAGGAGCCAGCGCTGCATCCCCGCAGTGTCGGGATCCGGCACCTCCTGCCCGATTTCCCCCGAGACTCAGGATGAGGACACGGAGCTGCCCCGGCACGGAGCGGAGCCGCAGCAGGAACGCTAAATCTGCCACTTGCCAACCCCTAACGGGGCTTAGGAGCCACTTTAAGCTTTGACAGTTAAATCGGCCTTAGGGACAAATCCTATTTTGAAGGCTTTTGTTATGTGTCGCATCTAATAGTTTAAAAATAACAGACTCCGGGGCGGCTCGCAGCAAAGGAGCGGCACGAACGCCCTGCTGCTCATCCCAGGGACAGGGATGCCGTGGCAGGAAGCTGCCCTGCCGGGCACGGAGCCGGCACAGGGGACACGGAGAATCCAGGTGGCACGGCCACAGCGACAGCCACGGTCCCAGCAGTGGGGTGGCCAGCACAGGGGGGTTCCCCACCACGCCGCCCTGCTCTCCCGCATCCCTCCTGCCAACAAAAACAGCATCCGAGCGGGACCGCGGCCAAGGCCGGGGTTAGACTCTGTCTGCAGGGAAAAAAAACATCTTTTGGGGCAGAATGGAAAAGCTGCTGCTTCTACCCGGAGAGGGGGAGGTGATCGGGGCCGGTGCCGGCTGCACCAGATCCCGGGAGCGGGCAGGACCCCCGGGAGAGCACCATTTCCCCCGAGACGTAGGATGAGGACACAGAGCTGCCCCTGCATGGAGCGGAGCCGCAGCAGGAACGCTAAATCTGCCACTTGCCAACCCCTAACGGGGCTTAGGAGCCACTTTAACCTTTGACAGTTAAATCGGCCTTAGGGACAAATCCTATTTTGAAGGCTTTTGTTATGTGTCGCATCTAATAGTTTAAAAATAACAGACTCCGGGGCGGCTCGCAGCAAAGGAGCGGCACGAACGCCCTGCTGCTCATCCCAGGGGCAGGGATGCCGTGGCAGGAAACGGCGCCAGTCGGGGTTCTGGCAGCGCAGCACCGTCTCCTCCGGCGGGCACGGCTCGGCTGCGGGAGAGAGGGGGGTATCAGTGCCAGGGTGCCACGGGAGTCCCCCCCCCAGCCCTGCCCACGCAGGGGGGGGCCGTGCTGAGGCTCCCGCACTGCAAGCCCTGGGTTTAAGAGCTTGGCAAAGCCCTCGGGCTCAGCCGAGGCTGGGCCTGCCTGCTCCTGCCTGCCCCACGGCCCGTCCAGGGGGCTGGAACCCCATGCTCAGGAGCCAGCGCTGCATCCCCGCCGTGTCAGGATCCGGCACCTCCTGCCCGATTTCCCCCGAGACGTAGGATGAGGACACAGAGCTGCCCCTGCATGGAGCGGAGCCGCAGCAGGAACGCTAAATCTGCCACTTGCCAACCCCTAACGGGGCTTAGGAGCCACTTTAAGCTTTGACAGTTAAATCGGCCTTAGGGACAAATCCTATTTTGAAGGCTTTTGTTATGTGTCGCATCTAATAGTTTAAAAATAACAGACTCCGGGGCGGCTCGCAGCAAAGGAGCGGCACGAACGCCCTGCTGCTCATCCCAGGGGCAGGGATGCCGTGGCAGGAAGCTGCCCTGCCGGGCACGGAGCCGGCACAGGGGACACGGAGAATCCAGGTGGCACGGCCACAGCGGACAGCCACGGTCCCAGCAGCAGGGTGACCAGCACAGGGGGGTTCCCCACCGCGCCGCGCCGCCCCGCTCTCCCGCATCCCTCCTGCCAACAAAAACAGCATCCGAGCGGGACCGCGGCCAAGGCCGGGGTTAGACTCTGTCTGCAGGGAAAAAAAACATCTTTTGGGGCAGAATGGAAAAGCTGCTGCTTCTACCCGGAGAGGGGGAGGTGATCGGGGCCGGTGTTGGCTGCACCAGATCCCGGGAGCGGGCAGGACCCCCGGGAGAGCACCGGGAGCCGGGGCTGGCAGCTGCCCCCGCGGCGGGAGCACAATGAGGGCTCTGTCCCCGCAGCCCCCGCCGGGCTGGGCCGCCCCCCGCCGCCGCCACCGTTTCACTTGACCTATCGGGAATAATAACGGAAACAAACAAGAAATTCTTTCAGGCACCCAAGGGAAAGTTTTTCCGAACTCACCAAAGAGTTGAAGCTGGGGACCAGCCCCACGCCACGGCCGGTGGCACGGCCACAGCTACCCGGCTGTGCCCAAATGCTGGCCCTGGCAACGGGTCACGCGTGGACCTCACACATCCCGGGCTGGAGCTCCATGGCACGGAGCACGAGAGGGGACCCCAGTTTTTGGGGGAGGCAGGAGGGTGTCTGAGTCCCCCCCGGACACTTGGGGGGCCGGAGGAGGGATCCTGTTCCCATCAGCTCCTCTCCCTGGTTGGCCTCCTCCTCCTCTTCCTCCTCCTCCTCCCAGCTCTGTTACTGTGCCCGGCCTCCCGGTGACGGCGAGTTTGAAACCGGACCGTCCTGGCACCGGAGCTCACCGGGGCCTGAGCTGGGAGGGAGCGGTGCCGGCGGCACGGTGCAGTGAGCACTGCCCCACTGCACCTGCAGCCTCCCCACAGCAGCCTCCCCACGCCATCCTCCTCACTGGTGCATCCTCACGCCGGCTAGACCTTTTAGCCCCTCACCCTCACCATGGCTGGAGGTTTTTGGCCCAAATCAGCTGCCTGCCAGCCCCCCGCATCCCCCCTCGGCCACCTACCCCCAAGCTCCTCACTGATGTCCAGGCTGGAGCTCCAGGAGAAACGTTCCACCGCCCCGTACTCCAACCCCGCCAGCCCGGCGGGCAAAGCCTCCAGCTCGTAGGCTCCCCGCTTCCTCCAGTACAGAAACATCCTGGGGTGGTGGAGGGGACCCCCCCACCCCGAGTCCTGCCCGCCCCACGGCGGGGACTAGCCGGGGTAGCCCGGCTCCGGCGTTAAGAGAGGGTCCCGGTCTCCGGACAAGCGGCGCATTGAGGCCGGCGGCGGCGGAGGGTGCCCGGGATTCGGCACAAAGGGCCTTTCTTCAGCCTCCCACAGACATTGCACAAATTTCACTTTCCGCCGTCTATGAAAGACATTCGGCGGCGGAGACAAGACGCGCTTGTGATTAAAATAATCAGCATGAAGAGGGGGGCTGTTCGGCGGCTCTGCCGTCGGATGGACTTCGGGGTGGGGGCAGGAATGCGCCGCCCCGAGTCTCTTGCTGCACCCCCGCAGCCCATGTGGGGAAAGCTGGGGGTCTTTCTTAGGGGGGTGTGTTTCCCCCTGCTGAACCCCAGCAAATGGGAAAGCATGGGGTAGGGGTTACACCCCACCAAGGCCTGTCCTGCCCCATGGAAAACTCTCTCAAAACCAGAGGCGAGTCTCTTGCTGCACCCCCGCAGCCCATGTGGGGAAAGCTGGGGGTCTTTCTTAGGGGGGGGTGTTTCCCCCTGCTGAACCCCAGCAAACGGGAAAGCACAAGGTAGGGGTTACACCCCACCAAGGCCTGTCCTGCCCCATGGAAAACTCTCTCAAAACCAGAGGAAACCCAAAACATCGCGTGGGGTGATCAGCTGGGCTGAGACCACCCCAGACTCAGCAGCATCAGCAGCATCTTCCCCCAAAGGCGCCACGTGCTCCCACGGTTTTGCTGCTTCTGGGCACCCTTTGCCAGAAAAGGTAGCAGAATTTTTTTAAAAAAAACTAAATTATAATCTAATCATTGCTGCAAAGCGAAATGGATCCAAACGTAGTAAAAAACCCAACCATCCTGCTGTATTTAGCACATCCTTGATGCTTTAGTGCGATGATCACACCACCCAGGGCCCCCACCCGTGCCCGGGGGGGGGTCACCCCAAGGTTAATTCTCCCAACCCCCCAGCCACCCCACACCGTGATCCCCTCAGGGCTCTCCTCCCTGCTCCGTTCAGCTCCATCCCCCCTGGAATGACCCAACCCCGGACACTCGAGGCTCAGCGTGGGTACACGGGGGTCACTCACTCATCCCCCAGCTCTGAGGAGGGGGGACCCCCATCTGGGGGCTGGCAGCAGCTCCAAGGGGGGTGTTGAGCCCCTGGGGGTTCAGCCCCAGCCATTCCCCCCCCACCACTCGCCCCTCTCACCTTTCCCGGCGCCTTTTCTGCCCGCTGCCCCACGGCTCCAACCCTCTCCTGGGCTGGGATTTTCCCCCTGGCTGCACCACGGCCCCCGTATTTATTTTAGCCACTGTTGGGGCCAGGTTGCCGGCCAAGTCCTTCCTGCGTTGCCAGACCCAGCCAGATGGGGATAATTAGGCCTGGATTAAGTTAAAGCTTTAACTCTTTAAAAGGCAGCCCCTCACCAACTCCTCTCCGGTGCCACCCCCTTCGATTTGTCCCTTTGACAGGTTGGGGTTTAGGGGAGCGCTGGAGGAAACCTCCTGGCAAACCAGATAAAAGCATTTTTCAGGGATTACTCACACCCGCAGCTGAAAGGAACCAGCCTCAAGCGGTGCCACCATGTCCCTCCCTCCTCCACGGGGACACCCAGACACAGAGGTCCGAAGGGGGACACCCTGGGGGACTGTCCCCCTGCTCTGGGATGGGGCAGAGCCACGTTGGGAGGAGCTGCCGTTAGCAGCTGGGTTATTTCTGCAGTCACAGATCCAAAAAACCACTCAGGTTTTCCCAAAAAGGTGCTCAGCTCAGCCCCAGCCACTCGCTCACCTCTGTCCAACTCCTGCTGACCTCACCCCAGCTCCGCAGCGACTCGCTGTCCCCTGAGAACTGGGAAAAACAAGAGAAAAAAAAAAAATAATAGAAGGTTCCTCTGGCCTTTCCCGGGGTGACGAGTTCCTCCCCACTCCTGCCCCGTCACCCCAGCACAACCTACTGGGACGTTGGGGCTGGACCCACAGTTCTTCCGGGGGCCTCCAGCCCCGGTGTGCTGGGATGTGGGCAGAGCCAGCTGGGCAAGGAACAACACCGTGTCCCTAGGCCAGTCCCCAAGGAGCTGTGACAGCGCGGATGGGGAACTCCCTCCAGTGGCTGTGCCCCCTTTCCCGGGGTGACGAGTTCCTCCCCACTCCTGCCCCGTCACCCCAGCACAACCTACTGGGACGTTGGGGCTGGACCCACAGTTCTTCCGGGGGCCTCCAGCCCCGGTGTGCTGGGATGTGGGCAGAGCCAGCTGGGCAAGGAACAACACCGTGTCCCTAGGCCAGTCCCCAAGGAGCTGTGACAGCGCGGATGGGGAACTCCCTCCAGTGGCTGTGCCCACATCACCCATGGGAGAGGATTCTCTTCCTCCTTTCCCCATCTCCCAAGGAGCCACGGGGACACAACCACTGGCACCAGCCCTTCTGTGGCCACCTGGGCTCCTGAACCCTCAAGCCAACTCCAGAGGCAGAACCGCTCTAAGGCACCGAGGAACCGCCCCAAACCTCCATCAGCCACGTCCAACTCAACACAAGCTGAGGAGAAAATTCAAGCCAAGCCACCATCAAACCCTCAAGCCAACTCCAGAGGAAGAACCATTGCAAGGCACCGGGGAACCGCCCCAAACCTCCATCAGCCACATCCAACAACTCAACACGGGCTGAGGAGAAAATTCAAGCCAAGCCACCATTTTTAATAGATATTTATTACAAAACACCAAAATACATACTGAAAATATAAAACAGTATCAAAAAGGGGACATGCTGCACTATCCACACCCGATGCCCACCCGGGTCTCGGTAGCACCGGGGGTTGTCACCGTCCCCGAGGCCTCAGGTGTAATCGCACTCGAAGGCGTACTCCCTCCTCTTGAAATGCTTCTTCTTCTTCAGCTTCCCAGAGCCCAGGATGCTGTAGTTGTAATCGGATGTGACATAAGGGATCTCTCCCTCAACTCCTTGCTGGGAAGAAGGAAAACAAAACTTTAAGAACTCGGATCTTCAAAAGGGAGAGCTTTTTCCTCTGCGGACCGACAGGCAGACAGCTGCCTGGTGGAAGGAACAAGCTGTCACCAAACCCCACTCTGGTATCTCAAACACGAGAGGAACGCTCTCCTCTCCCTTGTTTCTACGTGTTAAGGACAATTTCCTAGAGCGATAACCATCTGCTCTGCCCAGACATCTCCAGGCAGGTGTAAGCCCCAGAAATCAGGAACGGGAAAACCCGCTTGGCAGCCCCAGCCCTGCCAGCTCCTACCTGCCCCACCAGGACGCAGTTGGGGACAGAGATGTTGCCCAGGAGAAGACAATTCACCAGCCTCAACTTCTCCGGGGGCACCGGTGTCAGAATGTGGTAAAGCTTCTTCTGCATGTCAACCCCCCGGACGATTCCTGGAACAAACAGACACGGGGTTCAGCCTGACCCCAGCCCATCCTTTCACACTCTGTGACCAGACGCAGCCAGAGCCCTTTAAACTGCTCTTCTAGAGCCAAGGGGAGAATCCAAGACACATCCAGAGAGCAGCCTGCCCCACTGAATCCCAGTTTTTGGCACCTCAGTGCACACACAAACAGCTATTTCCCAGCCCTTGCTCACTGGCACATTCCTGCAGGAACCTGGGGAGCTCGGTACCAAACCCCAAGGCAGAAGTGCAAGAGCAAAACTAGTGACAGGAGGGAACAGACAGGCAAGTGAGGGGATTTGGCACAAGCCACGTGGCATCTGCTTTTGAGATTGTGAATCCAGAAAGCAAGTAAAATGGCAGGTTATGAAAGAGCAGCTCCGACAGGCACCGCTCAGTGACACTGCCCAGGCTGCCACCACAAGCCGGGGAAAGCCACAGGACTGGAAGCACAGCATGTGAGGGAAGAGCAAACAGCATTATTCTGTCATCTCATCCCACTTTTTCAGCTGTTATTGAAAGAGGAGGCCATTCTGTCACCCTATGTGTGAGCACAGGGCAGTGATAGCGTGGCTGGCAGTCCCTGGGGCTGGCTCACCGAAGCCGAGGCAGTCGCAGACCGGTGTCTGTGTCAGCAGGACAGGCCCATCTGACTGGCACCTGATCTCCTCAGGAATGCGGCACAGCCCGACCCAGCTGGCGTTCACCGCGTACATGATGTTGGTGGGAGCCACGTCGGTGTGAATCACCCTCAGTGCCACTGCACTGAAAGGCACCTGGTGGGGGGGAAAGAAAAAGAAGCTGTTTATGGGCTCAACATCAATTTAGTTGGGAGTTCAGAGATTAACACCAAGTAAACAAACCACACACCTACAGACAGGCCTTATCTCCGCAGCAAACAAACTCCAACACCAACAACTGACCAGACAGAGAGCAGGCACCACGCTCACACCTCGACAAATCCTCACTCAAATAAAGCTGCTATCTTTTTGGAGATTACAGAGCGCTTTTCCCTCTCCCCAAAACCATTTGCAACACCCACTTACCTGGTACGGCACGAGACTGTGGAGTGGAAGCACTGCCCCAATGTCTGGGGACTGCAGCTGCCCCAGGTACCCCAGGATGGACATGTCCCTCAGGACCCCGCTGTGCACCCGCCTGCAACAAGAGGGGGGGTGGATCAGGGGGGAGCACACCCTTACCACCATCCCACCACCACCCCCCCTCCGTCCCTTTTAAATTAAAAACATTTTAAAAATGTCTACCACTGAAGAAAACTTAGAGCCGTGTTTTTATCCCCTCTGCGGGATCACAGGATTTATGGCAATGTTTGTTTCAACTTTAAAAAGGCATTAATTAACAAGGGCGGTCTTTGAGTTTTTAATTTAACAAAGTCTGTTGTTAGATAACAGCTCCCTTCTCCAACCCTGGTGTCCACACACCTTTCAGTCAGTCACTCACAGAACAGAGTAATACATTTGTTTTCTTAAATATCTCATTAGTGAAGGATGAGTTAAAAAAAAAGAGCACTTAAAATTGCCAAGAAAGACCCAAGATCCAGGAAGATAAACATTTCAGAGATCCTTAAATATCAGCAAAATTAAGAAACAACGTAATAACCATCTGGGTCTGTAAGAAACGGGTAAGGAACCTCCTAATTAGAATAGAGACAGACTATTCCATGACCCCAAGTGAAGTCAGTGTAGAAGTCACTGCCAGTGGTCACTGGGAGTAGAGTAGGGAATAACAACCCCCTCCCCACCAACCTAAAACTCAACCCCACACAAACCTCTCCCCAACAGAACACCCAGAAAACCCAAACCACCCAAACATAACCTCCTAATATGTAATGAATAAACTCAATTTAACGGAACTCTCGAGGCCGCAGCAAGAACCTTTCCTGTGGGGACCACGTGTGATTGTGTCAATCCCACAAACCACCACAAAGGGCTGAACTTCCTACTTACGCTTCGCCCGCCGCCCCTGCGCGAGGGAACTCCGGATGGACGTACAGAAGCTTGTACTCGGGAGCTGAGGCATCTGCCCCCCCTTCAGAGGGCTTCCAGCTCTCCGTGCTGCTGGTCCCCAGCGGCTGGCGACGGGCCGGTTGGCGGCCCTTGGTGTAAAGCCCCGGGGTGAGGTGGACGTGCTCGGGGGTGAGAGGGTCCATGGCCTTCCAGTCGTACACGTCCATCTGCACGATGTGGCTGGGTGACAAGAGCCGGATGATATCGATCAGCAGCAGCAGCCCCTCGCCTTTAGGGAGCAGAGAAAACATGGCTGTAGGGGGTGTTGGTTGACAGTCGGCTGAACAGGAGCCAGCAGTGTGCCCAGGTGGCCAAGAAGGCCACCAGCATCCTGGCCTGTGTCAGGAACAGTGTGGCAAGTAGGGCCCGAGAGGTGATTGTCCCCCTGTACTGGGCACTGGTGAGGCCTCACCTTGAGTGCTGTGTCCAGTTTTGGGCCCCCTACCATAAAAAAAGACATTGAGGTGCTGGAGAGGGTCCAGAGAAGGGCGACAAAGATGGTGAGGGGTCTGGAGAATAAGTCTTATGAGGAGAGGCTGAGGGAGCTGGGGTTATTCAGCCTGGAGAAGAGGAGGCTGAGGGGAGACCTTCTTGCTCTCTCCAACTCCCTGAAAGGAGGGTGTAGAGAGGTGGGGGTCGGTCTCTTCTCCCAAGTCACAGGCGACAGGACGAGAGGAAATGGCCTCAAGTTACACCAGGGGAGGTTCAGGCTGGATATTGGGAAAAATGTTTTCACCCAAAGGGTTCTCAGCCATTGGAATGGGCTGCCCAGGGAGGTGGTTGAGGCCCCATCCCTGGAGGTGTTCAAAAGAGGGGTTGATGTAGTGCTGGGAGATAGGGTTTAGTGATGATGCTCCTTGTTTGTCATGCGGGTGTCTATTTTTGTCAAAGTTAGGTTGACGGTTGGACAAGATGATCTTTAAGGTCCCTTCCAACCTAGAAGATTCTGTGATTCTGTAGCTGCTACACAAACAGCTCGGGACATGAAGAGAGAATCACAGACTGGCAGGGGTTGGAAGGGACCTCTGGAGATCATCTCCTCCAACCCCCTGCCAGAGCAGGTCCTACAGGAACGTGTCCAGGCGGGTTTGAATGTCTCCAGAGACTCCACCACCTCCCTGGGCGGCCTCTTTCAGGGCTCTGCCACCTTCACAGGAAAGAAGTTCCTCCTCATGTTTAGATGGAACTTCCTATGTTCAAGTTTGTGCCAATTATCTCTTTTCCTGTCACTGGGCACCACTGAAAAAAGACTGGCCTTATCCTCCTGGCACCCCCCCTGTAAGTATTTATAGGTGTCGATCAGATCCCCCTGAGCCTTCTCTTCTCCAGACTAAAAAGACCCAAGCCCCTCAGCCTTTCCTCAGCAGAGAGATGTTCCAGGTTAGAGAAGACCAGCACTAGCCCAAGGCAGGCAAGCTCTATTTTCTGTTCTGGACTCTGGAAAGCGTGGTGCTGCACCACAATCTCTTGGGAACACATTTTCTCCCCCCTTTACCTTTCACCCAGCCCATGGTGTTGACGACTAAAGGCACTTCCTTCTTGTAGGAGCTGAACACGTACTTCACGACATCGAGGTATCTCTCTGTGTCCTGCTCACAGCTGGTCTGTCCATAATACACCATCTTACGCGGCGTCTGTTGATGGGTGAAGGGTGGGCCTGGAAAAGCATGTGGCAAAGTGCTGCTGGGCTCAGCAAGTCAAATCAAAACACTCCCATCCCTGCAGCACCCACACACAACCCCTTCTGAAATAACCTGTCTTCTTTTTCCCATCCCACACTCCTGGTAGAGCACATGCCAATGGAGAAACTTTTCTGTCACTTTTCTTTGCCCCCCCCCCCCACTTCTTTATTTGTTTGAAATCACTGGCGACACACCTGTGAATTTTAAAACTAACTTCTGTGACAGACCATCCAAAAAGCACATAAGTCTGGCCACATCCTTTTTAGACACCAACCCAAATCCACAAGACCACAAACACCAGCCATTTCTCTGGCTGTAGTTATTTTTCTGTGGCTCCCCTTGGTATTTCTCAAGCAAGATTCATCTATGGTTGCTAAAAACTAGGAAAGATTTTCCCAAAGAGACCGTTCAAATCCAAAAGGCTGAAAATCCAGTTTGACATGCCACAGCCTGTCCCACCACCTCATGAACAACTACCTTCTCTCTTCAAAATGGAAAAAAAACAAGTAGAGAGAACAGCTCTGTGTTACTCAGACATTTTCACGTGAAGTTTCAATGCCCCCAGCAAGGAAACTGGAACAGGCTTTGGTTTACTTCCCACGTGTACCTTTGACACACACGACAGCCTCTACTCAGAAAGCACATTTTGGAAATCAAAGAGAGTTCTAGCAATGGCAGAAAATGGCAAAACACATACCGAGAATGGGCTCTGTTATGTTACTTAAGGACACGCATCCAGGCGGCGTAAACTCAGTCTGACCTATGTCACATTCCATGTATTCAACCGAGGGAAGGCTGCAGTGAAAGAAGCCCGTACGTTAGCGTCCCCTAAAAACCAAACAGGACACGACCTGGAACACACCAGAACCACAATCTTTGTTCTGGGCTGTCAAAATTAAATTCTCTAATATAATCAAACCACCACTTGTCTCTCTCCTGCCCTCACTTGAAGGGTTATCAAGCAAGAATGTGAAAGGCTCACCTACAGTTCACCCGCTCCTGCACTAACTGGGCATCCTGAGACCAGCCATCTCAGAATTGAGCAAAATGTGAAAGGCTCACCTACAGTTCACTCACTCCCACGCCAACTGGGCATCCTGAGACCAGCCATCTCAGATTTATAGACTTTATAATCTTTATTTTAAGCATGCACTGGTCAGGAGAATAAGCTTCTACACCTTGCTCTGCCAAGAATCCTCAAAGGCACTAAGAAATTATAACTTACTCCATGTTTTCAAGCGTTCTAACTCCCAGCTCCTTACTGAACCAAGCTGCTCGGTGCCCAATTAGTTCACATCCTCCAAGACACCAATTTTAGTTCAATGCAAGTATTTCAGTAGCCAACTTTTCTGAAATGAACCCAAGACAAGAATACCTATTTTTCTGAGTTTTTGTGTGCTTTTAAAAGACATCCATCTTCCAGTTGTACGAGCTTTTCTGAGAATCCTGGCAGGCAGGTTTTCCTTCTCCTAAATCCCAGGCAGTACTTAAAAATGTATAGAACATGTAAAGACTCACCGATTCAGTAACAGATTCACCAAGTATCTGTTAAATGTCGATTTCCCAGTGTTTTTTGGGCCACACACCAGAATCAGGGGAACACCTTCATCTTCCGCTGGAAAATCAAACACACTCTGAAACAGACCAACGCTGTCAGTTACTCTGATCTAACCCATTTACATAAAAAATAGTCCCCAAATCCCTACAAAACTCTGTGATCTCACTAGGATATATTTTAATTAAACTGGGCAAAAAAAAAAATCCCTTAAAGAGAGGCATGTTAAGTGTAGGGGTGTAAAGGGAAGAGGTTCCTGAAGCAAGAAACAAGCCCTAGCACAACCACACAGGGTTTACGAACTCCAGTCACTCATGGTGTTTCAGATCTTGCGGAATAAGTAAAAGGGCGTTATTTCTACCTGCTGCAGAAGAGAGCAAAACAAGTTTTGACGTCAGCCTGGGAAGTGCCTTCACAGCAGAAAGGTGCCTGTCTGGCAGCAGAGGCACAAACCAACCCACTGGAGGTGACGCACAAGCTCACAACTCCCACTCTTTAGGGGAAAACCATGACATTCGCTCAGTGCCCGTCCCAGGGCACGCTCTCCCCGGCTTTAACTCGTGAAAAGCCTCGTGACTTTCCTTCCTCCCACCCTCACTCACCACAGCAGGCTTGGATCAGCTCCTCTAGGGCCAGGCACATGCTCTCCGACACCAGCAGCCCGCGGTCGGGGCTGCACTGCACGATGCCCACAGAGGCCAGAACGGCATCTTCTGGCGTGAAGTTGGATTCTTCCTTTTTCTGAGGAAGAGGGAAAATCGCTTAGTGAGGCGCGTGAAGGCCTCGGAGCTGGACTGCTGGATGCTGATGGGCACACGAAGCGGTGCGGCCGCCTCTGGCTCTACATGAGGCCTGTTTTGGAGAAGGCCTGGCATCCACACCGCCGTCCAGGGCGGAGCGGCCATCACGACGCCCTCTGGTTCTCACCTGGGGCTCGAAGAGCCGTGACAGCGGTGGGTGGCTCAGCAGGAACCGTGTCACCGGCGTGTCCAGGTGCTCCAGCAGCACCAGGGCGCACTCCGGGGAGAACTGGGCCATCACCTTCACCCGCGCCTCTGCAACGGGGGGGAAGAACGCCGCCCTCAGCCCATCGCAGTGGCCGGGGGCAGCGCGAAATGGTGGCGCCCCGCACCGCGCACAAGATGGCGGCCTCCCCGCACCGCCCGCGAAATGGCGCCCCCCCTCCCTCCTTACTCCCCGCACCGCCCGCGAAATGGCGGTCTCCCCGCCGGGGTTGGCACTCACGGCGGCGGACGCGGTGGGCCCGCATAGCGGCGCGGGCGGCGGCGCGGAGCTGGCGGAGGTCGGCGGCGGGAGGTCGGTCAGCGGGCAGCGCCTCCAGGGTGAGAGCGCAGTGGGTGGAAGGCGAGAAAACCGGCAGCCCCGGTTGGTGCGAGGCGACGGCGAAGCCCAGCAGGCGGACGGCGCCGTAGAGGCAGCGCAGGCGGCACTTACCGGTGAATGTCAGCGCCTACGGGGGGAGAGAGAGCGGTGAGGCGGCGGCGGCGGGGCGACCCGGAGCGGCGGGGCCGGTCGGTGCCCACCTGCCGCGGCGCCAAGAGGAGAACGGCGGCGCCCTCCGCCGCTTCCACAGCCGCCAGGCCCGC